GGGCATCTCTAAAATATCGTCGAAGGGCGAATCAACGCAGAAAGGTTGAGCAACTTCAGGGGTAGGTGGGGATAGGACCGGATCAGCGACAGCAGGAGTCTCGGGAATATTGTGGTCAAGTGCCAAGCCCGGCAAGGCCTCCTCTGATGGGACTAGAATCACCACCTCGGGCGGGTCTGCCAAAACTTGCATCGGCGTTGGAGTCGCACCCTTGGCAGCAATCTCGGCCTCGCCTTGTTCCATCTCAGCCGATTACACATAGTTGTGCATCTGGAAGAGCGGGGAGTCTGGAGGGACCCCGACAGATCGGAGCGCCTCGTCCCACCCCTTTTTGAAGAACTCTCTGCTATTTTCCTTAAGAGCAGGCAATACGTCATCGACGAATTCCTCTCGGAGTTGTTCTTCAGACTTCCTACTCTCTACCTCAGCCCTGATCCTGTCCAGCTCCTGGGTCAGAGCTAGAAAACTCTCCTCTGAACCGACAGCCCTCTCCTCTACCGCAGAGAGCCGCTGCGTCTGCTCTGTAACCCTCCTCTCAGTGTCGGCCAAGGCAGCACTTAACTTTTCAGCGCTGACCATCGCCAACTCGGCATCCTTGAGGAGTTGTTCGATCTGAGCAGCCTGCCCCGCAAGGGTGGAATCCCTGGCAGCTACATCCTCCTTAGCACTGGCCAGGGCTCCCTCGGCTTCTTCCTTCTGCTCTCGAGCCTACTGGAGGTCCATCCTAGCCCCATGATACCGCATCGCAGTTATGAAAATCTGTTAGGTGGCCTGCAAAGGAAAGGGCTTGTCGATAAAAAGAAAAGCGGCTAGAAAGGACTGAAGCAAGGATGAACTTACTACCAGGGAATTCTGAATGATAGAGCGAAACAACACGTTCGTTGATCGCCCCCTGTGAGCCACCATGTCGGCCTCGAAGTGCAGAATCTCACCCACTGCGTTGGCAACATGGGAGTCCTGCAAAATGGATTCGTTAACCCTGATCACTCGGTTCATGTGATCGGTGGCCCGAGGATTCTACTTCGTGGCTTCCATCGTCTGAGGAAGGGGAGGGAAAGTCTGTCCTTACTGCTGTTGCTGTTGTTGCCTCTGCTGTTGCTATTGCTGCTGTGGAGGAGGAGGTAACCCACGGCCTCTCCCGCTTTGCTGCTGAGCGGAGGGGGCCCTGGATCCCCTGCCCAGGCCATCGTGCCTTTGTTTAATCCTTCTTTCCACCTCGACCTGAGGATCTTGGTCACGCACTTGGCCACGACCAACGACCCTTGAAGATGGGGTGGCGCTGGTCCATGTAGGTGGGGCCCCGCTGGTTGACCCATGCCCCCGCCAGGCAGCGAGGGCTTGCCTCTGCCTTAGGAATCCCAAATCAATTCAAGGCGTGTTGGACATAGCTATCTTGAGGGCGTCCTCGGCGTCTAGAGATTGCAGGATTTGGAAGTCAGGCCATGAATCTCTCCCCGAAGTCCCCACCTCGCCGTGCGGAGGAACCAAATCCTCTCTAACCCCGAGCTCCTCAACTTCACCCTTTACTTCTGCCTCCGTAGCCCGGTCGGGGTCTTGCTCCAAGTTCTCCTCATCCTCTTTTCATACCGCTTGATCGAAGAGTTCAGACCACCGAAAAAGCTCGAAAGGCTGGAGAAGCTATGAGAACTTCTTATATCCGGGAGTGTAATTCAGGAGGATGTGGACAGCCCGGCCGAACCCGTCGTCACCAATAAATCTCCAAACAGTGACTAGGCCGGTAAAGTTCCCCAAGGACCGAGGTGGAGGAGCTGTTTTCCGAGCGGAGATGTCTGCACACAAACAAAAAAGAGAGGGGAAAGAGTTATGAACACTGCCAAAAAATCTCAAGAACAAAATAATAGACCCGAAGAAGCCGACGTACTTGTCGTTCTCCATTCCAAAGGGTATAACAAGCCGTTGTACTCAGACCCGGTACCCCTCTGCTAAGATCCCTTAAAGATGAGTAGGTCATCCTTGTACCCCTTATCCAAGTTGGGAAGGTGAGTTACAAGGTACATGGATGGGTCCTTGGCTTTGAGGTAGAAATTTTGTTGAGGCATGACCCTTAAGAAAGAGTAGCAAAAGAGGATATTGTTCAGCCCAACATTTACCCCGAGATGCTTGTTGAGCTCTAAGACTTCCATAATTATCCTGAAGAAATTAAGGCAACACTGCCCGGGGAAAAGATGAAAATGGGAGAGGAACTAGAGGAGAAGAGGGGGCAGAGGGAACCTAAGTCCGCCCTCTATGACGGCTTTGGTATAAAAGGGCATCTCATCCTCGGCCCGAGGATATGAGAATGTAAAGCCAGATCATAATCCTCTATGTCTACATATGGGGGGATGTTGTACTTGACCCTAAACCTATTAATTTGCTCGCCCCCCTTCACTTTATACTTCCCTGGCCTCGAAGAACTGGCCTGAGGATCCTCGGGGGCAGGGCGACGACGGGGCATCTCCAAAAAGTGATAAAAAGTGAAGAAGGAGGGGGTTTTTCCACAAAGATCCCCAAGGAGGCTTTCCGAGGATTGGTCGCTGAGTGGCAACCAGAAACGCCTCCAATTATCGAAAAACCAAAAAGAACAAAAAAAAATGAGAAGAAGAGAAGAGACGGAGGGCGAAGAAAGGGAAGATACAAGGATTCACCAGAATGTAAAAGGAAGTTTTTTCTTGAAACTTGAAGCGACTCCTTCCTCCAGAATGTTCAGAAGCAAGGATGGGTCTGCTGGCCTTAAGACTTCGGTGAAAGATTGGACAGTAGACAATGAAAGGAAAGGGATTTTTGGCGCGGTTTCAGGCAATGGCTCTCTGAAAAAATTTGAAATGGCAAAGTGAGAGAGGGAAAGAGGAAGCCCGTTTATATAGTACTCATCCCCATTATTTGGGCACGAAGCACGAAGAGGTGCATTTAATGCGCACGACCTCTGAAGCAGGGGAAAGAGGCTGAAGGCAATGATGAAGTAGTTGGGGTAGTTGCAGAACCCTTCGTTTCCTTACGATGCGTGTCCTCGATGTCAGGAGATCGAAGGCTGGGGGGCAGTTGATGGGACATTTCCAAGTACTCCAAGATAAAGACACGTGTCCACGGCATCAGTAAATTCTTGTTACTATAATCATGACACGTACCCGTCGGATCACAAGTTCCTATTCCCCCGAGGTACTATTCATAGGGATCAATGACAACCAGTACGTTACGTATCGACATATATCCCTACATGTACCACTCCTCTTGGTACTGATATGTACCCGTCCAAGATGGTGTTCTCTGCTCCTGCAGAGGTTATTGATGTACAAGTCACTAGTCTAGGCTAGACTAAGTTAGCCATCATAACCTCGTCTTACACAATTGGTGTCAGAAGGCACAAGAAAGTAGAGGACACAACCAATGGGGAATGGATGCGTGACATATTGTGTCACATCAGAGACAAAAAGACCAGATGCCTTTGCTAACACACGACTCTGAAAAGCAAGCATTTAATTACACAATTCCCTTGATGAGACAACATTTAATGCAGTAAGGCTCAGAAGTGAAAGGTAATAAATGTCCCTAAGACTGGACATTTATTACATTCTTGCCGAGAGGAGCTCATTAAACAGTTGACAGGCCGATGACGCAGCCTTGGTTGCTTGGGATCCCGAGCAGTTAAAAGAGAAGACATTCCTCATAGGAATCAGTGCGCACGTTGCCCGTATCTAATGATCACCTACTGACTACACTGACAGCAATCATGAGTTTTTGAGGTATAAATACTCCTCACAAAAGGTAAGACGGTATGCAATGAAAAACCTTTTCTCAAACCTATACTCAGTGTTTTCTTCTTCCCCTTTCTCAAAAACTGACTTGATCATCAGAGGAAATACATCGGAAAATACTCTGGCGCCCTTCTAACTTGTCTTTCTCTGTTCCAGGAACCTTCCTCAGCCTTACTAGACCGCTCCCTTAATCCACGAAAGTCACCCATTACCTTTCCAAGCCACCAACGGATCTCAACCTGTTCTAAATAGCAAGGTTGATCATTTGATTGACAGACTCGAGTTCACCACGGGAGAGATCTATTCTCGTGTTTATATTGTGCAAGATCCTACACGCACAGAATCATAGAGTTGTCGAAGCAGTTTAATCAAACACTTATAGGAAAGTGCGTGTATGGTAAACCTTCATTAGGTGTTATCAGGGAGTTTATTAGCTCTCATTGGATTTCGAAGGGAGAATTTACTATGGGGGTACTTGATCCCAGGCATGTCTTGATACGTTTTAGTCTATTTGAAGACTATGTGAAGACATGACTTAAGGATGCGATATACATTGAAGAGTATCTCTTTTGCTTTTTTAAATAGTTTTCGAAGTTTCTTCCTGGGATAGAACCACCTGTGGTGCCAATCTGGATATCATTGCCTGGTCTGCCTATCCATTTGTTCAATTGTGAAAGTCTTAGGGATATATTGATTCCCATAGGGAGAATCATGATGATTGACACTCCTACACTTACTCTATCAAGGCCAGGTTTGGCTAGAGCATGTGTTGAAGTAAACTTGTTGGCTGAAAATCCAAGAAGATTCTGGTTGGACATGGGAGGGAATAGTGGTAGATGGCAGCGTATTTGTTATTAGAATGACTGCAAATATTGCCCAAATTGTTTGAAACAAGGGCACGATGAAAGTCTGCGTAGAAAAAAGAAAAAGGAGGATATCGAGATTAATAAGCAAAAAGATCCTTTTTTTGTTGAGATAGTTAATAAGGAAGTTGAAAGGAAAGATGATGGTGTCAAAGAGAAGGTTTTTACATAGGTGGGAAATAATCACAAAGGAATAAAGGTTTTCAAGCAAAAGTCTGTAGAAATTGTGGGTGAGGATGTGAATAGATTTAGTCTTCTAGCTAATAAAGATGATGGAGGTTCTATTCAGGGGGAACATTATGGTAAGAATGAGAGTTTAGCTGCGTAGGAAATTGAGGAAGAACAACTGATAGGGGTTAGGCCAGAAGAGAGATGGAATCCTCAGATGAAATCAGTCGCTGTTCAATTAGATAAACCACATGAGGATGTTGCAAATCGGATTGATATGGGTGAGAATTTTGAGGAGACTCAGTTGAGTCAGGAGACTGAAGGGAGGGGAAATCAATTGATAGTGGTGGGAGGGATGCAGTGTTTATCAGTTGGTAGTTTTGATAATATTGGTGGTGGTGAATTTTGTGGTTTAGATAAACAGGTTTCTCTTTCTTCTGGAGGTTCCTTTTATTGAAATCACCAATATGTTGCAAGAGTGGGTGTAAATAATACTATGGATGATGAAACAGGAATAGTAAGGAGGATTGATCCGCCGAATAAAGGGTATTGGTTTGATGATGGAAGTTTGCTGAGACGAAGTAGATCCATGGGTCAAATGAAGGATATTAATGATAATGACTCAGTGGATTCAAAATCAAATTCTTTGGAGGTAGGTCCACTGGACTTTACTGATAAGCTGAGGCCGAGAGGTAAGTCTCTTATTCCCTAATATGATCAGTTGTCTTTCATGGAATATGAAAGGAGCTGGAAAGACGTCTAAAAGGAGAAGACTTAAAAAACTTGTGAGTATGCATGATATATGTATGGTTTATATTCAGGAACCTAAGATGGATGGAAGTAAATTACATGATTTGGGTAGGTATCTGGGAATGTCTAACTCTATTTTTAATCCTTTAGCTGTAAGAAACTTGTTGTTGCTTTGGGATACTAGGGTTAATGTTCAGGTAATTGCTTAGCATGAACGGGTTTTGACTATAAGTGCTTCTTATTTGGGTTCTGATGAGGTGTTTGTTTCTTGGGTGTATGCCTACTGTGATCATATTTTGAGAAGGCCTCTTTGGTTACATCTATTATCTTTGCCTATTCCTTTGGGGTCAGTTTGGATGGTGGGAGGTGATTTTAATGCCATTTTAAATTCGAGTGAAAGGCTTGGGGGAGCAAATGTGTTTCAATGGAGAAATTTGGTGAATTTGTGCACACTGCTGGTCTGCAAGATGTGGGTTTTAGTGGAAGTCAATATACCTAGTGTAATAATGGACAAGGAAATAGTAGAATGTGGCAGAGGATTGATAGATTTATGTTTAATCCTTGTTGGTGTTTCAGATTTGACAAGACTGAAAATTTTCATCTGGGGAGAGGTGGATCAGACCACTGTCCAATTTTGATTAAAATACAGGAATCTATGAAGGCAAGGATTTCTTATTTTAAATTTCAAGATGTGTGGGTTGAGGACCCAGGTTTTTTGGCCCTTGTTTCTACTAAATGGGAAGGTTTTTATTCTCAAAATCCAATTGAGAATTTTTTTTTTTTGAAATTGAAGTATTTGAAAGCTCATATAAGAAAAATGGAATGTTGAGACTTTTGGTAATATTTTTGAGAGGTTAAAAAGGTTGGAGTTAGCTGTGGTTCAAGCAAAAATATCTCTTTACCGTGATAATTCTGTTAATAATGAACAGGCTTTGGATGAGGCTTTAAGAATTGAGGAGATTTTTTGGAGGCATAAAGCAAATATTAAATGGGTTGTGGAGGGGGAAAGAAATACTATGTTTTATCATGCTTTGGCAAAAGGAAAGGCTATGGGGAAATTGTATATGTAACATTCAAAATGGTGCAGGTTTATGGGTTAAAACTGATGAGGAGATTGGTGAGGTAGCTATGGACTTTTATTCTTCTTTATTTAAGACTAAACATCACTCATTCCATGAGAGTTTATTTTCTGATATTCCCGCTTTAGTTATTGATGGAATGAATAAGGATCTTCTTGCTGAGGCTTCAGTGGAGGAGATTAAAGATGTGGTTTTTTCAATGTTTGTGCAAAGTGCACCTAGGGGTGGATGGATTTTCTAGAAAAAATTTTCAAGTAGCATGGGATATTATAAAAGGCGATGTGGTAAATTTCTTTCTTAGAGGAGGTAAAGTTCCTAAATCAGTGAATGCTACATTATTAGTGTTAATTCCTAAGAAAGATAGTAATAAGCTTCTGGCTATGTAATTTTAGGCCAATAATCTTATGTAATTTGGTTTATAAAATTTTTACTAAGCTTCTGGTTGGTAGATTGGCATCTATTTTGCCTATTGTGGTTTCACAAGAACAGGATGGATTTGTTAGAGGGAGGAATGTAGGGAGTGTGTTGCTTTAGCCCAGCTTATGGTGGAGGATTTGGACAGGAAGGTGGAAGCTGGGAATTTAATTCTCAAATTGGTTATGATGAAAGCGTACGACAGGTTGGAATGGGATTTTTTGTTTGAAGCTTTGCTAAGCTTTGGATTTTCTGAGATGTTTGTTAGTATCATTTCTAACTGCTTGGAGAGTCAGTTTGTATTAGTATGTGTTAATGGTCAGAGAGTTGGTTTTTTTCCCTTCTTCCAGGGGATTGAGACAAGGGGATCCAATATCCCATAGTCTTTTTATCTTGGCAGAGGAAGTTCTTAGTAGAGGCATGAAAAGGTTGTATTTGGAAGGTAAGATAAAATGTTTTCACTTGGGGAGAGGTACATCATTAGTTAGTCATTTGCTATTTGCAGATGATACTTTGGTATTTCTGAGGGGAGATAAGAGGTTAATGAACAATCTGTTGAAATTTTTGGGGACTATGAATCTTGTTATGGGCAGAAGATTAATGTGCAGAAGAGCTCTATGTACTGTTCAAGATTTATTTCTGTCAGTAGGAAATTGGAGTTATCTGCTTTAGCAGGTATCCCAGTTAGGAGCTATCCTTTTACATATTTGGGATGTCCTATTTTTAAAGGGAGATCTAGAATCAGATTTTTTAAAGATATTATAGCTAAGTTAAGAGCTAAGTTGGAAGGATGGTATTGTAAAATGCTGTCTAACATGGGTAGAGTATTAATGGTTCAGTTTGTGTTGAATACCATTCCAATGCACATTTTGGCATGTCAGAATTTTCCTAAGACTGTGATTCATAAGTTGAGTGGTATGATGGCTGGTTTTATATGGTCAAACAAAGTGGATAATAGGAAAAGGCATTGGGTGTCATGGGAGAAGGTTGCTCTGCCTAAACTTGAAGGGGGGTTGGAACTTAGGAGTTTTGAGGATTTGCAGATAGCTTTTAGGATGAAACAGGTGTGGAATCTATTATAGGGGAATTCTTTATGGGCAAAGGTGTTTACTACAAAATTTATAAAAGGAAAGCACTTAGTGAGATGTGTGGGAATGAGTCACTTTAAGAATTTGGAGGTTTTAAGGCCTTATTTTGAGAACGTTGTTATACAGTCCAGGAGATTGGTGGGGGAAGGTGATAAGACAGATTTTTGGTGTGACTGTTGGTTGGGGGATGGTCCTCTGTTATTTAGACTACATAGTATGCCAACAATTTTTCCAAAGGTTTGTGAGGTGATGGTGAATTCAAGTTTGCAGTTGGAATACTTTGGCCAATTGATGAATGATCAAATCAAGGAAGATCTGTTAAGGGCTGGCATTGCTTTATCAGATTCAGATGATAGGTTGGTTTGGCAGAGAACAAGTTCTGGGCTCTTTTCTGTTAAAACGGCATGGAGTCTGGTGAGGCACAGAAGTGAGAAGAGTAGAGTTGCAAAGGCAATTTGGAGTATGAAGACTACTCCAAGTGCCCAGCTGGTAGGATGGAAGTTAATGATGAAAGCGCTACCCATGGATTCTAGAATTTGATTGTGTGGAGTATACATGGTGAGTAGGTGCTCTATGTGTGGTAGTGCAAAGGAGGATTATGTGCATCTTTTTATGGAATGTAGCTATGCAAAAGCTATCTAGAAAAGAATGGCTTCGATGGCTGGGTTTCAACTTATTGAAAATGAAATGACTTTGGTGAGGATACAAAGATTATGTAGAATTTTTAGAAGGCAATCTTTGGGGTGTGGATTGGTAAGGAGTCTTGCTTTGTTAATTTTCTAGTTGATTTGGAAGGAAAGATGTAAGAGAAGGGCTGGTGAAGGGTGTCAGAATTCCTACTCTGTTTTTCTCAAGCTTTTCAGCATTTTGAGATACCAAGTAAGGAATATTAGGCCAAAGGTGCTGGATGTGGAAAGAGGAGGGGTTTTCTTACAAGTGCTGGTTATTGTGGTGCCCTATGTGCTTAGGGTTAGAGCAGTGTGGGTTAGATGGGAAATGCCTGCAGAGGGGTGTATGAAGCTTAATGTCAATGGGGTAGTTAAAGGCAACCCTGGTATGGCTGGTGGAAGAGCGATACTGAGAAATGAGTAGGAGGTGTAGTGGTGGATGCATCATTTTTTTATGGTATATGTTCAAATATGGGAGCTGAATTCAAGGCTATGTTAGATGGGTTACGTTTAGTGGAAGCATATGGGTTGAATGTTCACAGAATTGAGATAGAATCTGATTCATTGGTTTTGGTCAAGATTATTAAAAAGGATTTTGGATGTCCTTGGCCTTTCTTGGGAGTGCTAAAGCAGATTAACCAAGTGCTAGCAAGAATGAATTTTTAGTTGAAGTATGTGTTCCATGAGGCCAATTCTGTGGCTGATGAACTAGTGAACAAGGCTATACAGGATGGGAGATCCTCTGAGTTCCCTGTCTCCAGTCAATTGCCTTTTGTTGTGAGGCTGAAGCTGCTACAAGATCAGCGATGCATTCCTATTTTCAGGAAAAAGTCTTCTTTGGTGTTTGATGACTTGGGATAGATGGAGTAGATGAGATAGGGGGTTTCTGGGAAAATACTGTTCTTTTTGCTTGGAAATCTTGAAGTATTAAAGCCATTGAATGGCTCATTTGTTTCTTGTAAATTTTTTAATCCTTGTATTTCATTGATTCTTGTAAAGTCTGATTTTACTGAATAAAATATTGGTTTTTTATAAAAAAAATCAATAAATGCAATGGTAATGTAAATAAGTGTTGCAATTATAATTCTTCTTTCATTTAGTGGTGGACCTATAGTGGGGGCAATGGCCCCTAGTGTGATTTTGAAAAATTTTGGAGTCAACTTGAAATTTTAAAAAAAATTATATTTTTAAAAATTTGTCCCTACTAAAATATTATAAAACTTTAGAAGTACTTTAATATTTTAAAAAATGAGTTGATAAAAAATTAGACTTAGAATCCAATATTTGGAATATATCAAGCATGAATATATTTTGGATGAAATCATTTTGATTTAATTGTACTAGAACAATTTATCTGTATTGAATTAAATTGGTCCTATATCTATGTTCGGTCTTTATAAACTTATAATAAATTGATTTTTTTTCTTTCAAATCTTTAATATCAATTTTTTTTATTTTAATTATTTATTGTCCTTATGATAAATGATTTCTTAAAGATAATAATGAAGTATTGAATTTATTTCCTTTTTACTTTGATATCAATGTTGTTGGGGGAGAGATACTGTGGACCTTTCTCACGATAAAACACATGGGGGTGAGTAGGTTAATTAAGATTTCGCTTGGACAACCACCAACTTTAATCTATGTCTACCTCAATTACCTCTTTTTGAAACTAATCAAACAATTGTGTATG